TTAAAAGTTCCATAGGCTCAACGTTATAAAAAAGATGGAGGGGTTATTATATTACGAGCCCTTTCATGATGATTTCAAACTAACTTGCAGATTGATTAGGATTGGTTTTGCCAGTCAAAATGTTGATATATAAAAGTTATGTACCAAATATATATGTATGTATGTATGTATATATTGTCCTTAATTACGCTAAAAATACGAATCCCGGGTATACTCATATTCAAGAAGATAATCGAACACCAGGATAAAATACAAACAAAACTATTTTAATACACTTAGCTTTCGTCAGCTAACTGCCAACGTCATCAGAGTAAAATGTTGATGTTTTGGGAGATTGCTTATAAAGCCGGCCGTTTTTGCGCTCTGCTCAAGTCAACACACACCGATAGGGTTCTGCATTATAGGAGCAACCATCCGGTGTCACACAAAATTGGCTGCATTAGGACACTGTTTAAGCGGATCAATACTCACTGCAATACTGACAGAGCAAAAGCTGAGGAGAAGAATCACCTGTATCGTATCTGCAGGCGGAATGGCTATCCAGTGGAATTTATTAAGAAGTACAGCAGACCGTATGAGCCTCGCGGGAGCCAACACATAGACACGCCTATGGCATGGACAACATTGCCATATATCAACGGCGTGTCAGAGGCAACGGCGCGGATGTTAGCCCCATATAATATTAGCATTGTCCATAAACCAGACCAAACTCTGCATTGTAAGGTAATGCACCCCAAAGAGCCTCTCCCCAACGAAGAAAGATCCTCAGTGGTAAGGGGAGAGCCCCCAAGATTTTCTTTATCTAAATTACAGATAAAGAAATACAATGCAATAATGAGACTTTAACTTCCCCGACTTTCAACTTTCTTGCTATGCATACATTTTGACTTCTATTTCTTTATGGAATCCAAGTGGTCAAAGTCAAAAACCATAATGGACATATTTATGAAAGTTATTATGGGGCTCCTGATATAACTGAAGTTTGGTTCCTATTTTCTAGTCAAAACTCTACTTCATGGTATAAGGCATAGTTGGAAAACATTGAATGGAAATGCAACTTTGAGCCTTATTCATGTGACAGATTTATATATTGGGAAATCTGAGTGAAAATTGTAGATAAATCTTTTAAATTCAACAACAAAGGTATTAATTAGCTAAGTTTTAAATCATTTAACTTACTGCAAGAGATATTCGTATTTTTCCAAACTATAGAAAATTGCAATATACTCAATCAATCATGATTGGTTTTCACAATTTGTTCAAAATACATTAGCAGCATCTATTTCAGCACTGAAATTTGTTTTGGTTGGATGATTCCAAATTTATAGTATTTTGAATAGAATACTAATCATCTAATCATAAGAGAAGATGACTTTAATACATATTTTCCCATTTACTTATTTTCTTGTAACCTTCTGGAAGGAGGCTCCATGTTATCCGAAGCAGAACATCCAGATTCAACACAGCTTAGTATCAACCTTGTGAACTCTCAAGTTTCCTTCTTCCACTATGTGTTCAAAATGGACAGTGATTAATATTTATATGTATATGCGTAGTAGTGTGTGTGTGTGTGTGTGTGTGTGTGTGTGTGTGTGTGTATTTGTGTGTGTATAGCATGTGTATATGTGGGTTATGTATGTGTATGGGTGAATAATATACTTTCTTTTGAGAGCAGGCAACAGAATTTTATTTTTAATGTGAGCCAGTGTGCTCACAGTAAAAAATGACAACAATAAAGGTTATCCTATCTCATTGGGCACATTAGAAAACGTGTGTAAGCCCGTGGATCGATGACATTTTTATCCTGTTGCCCATGTGAGGGGGTGGTTAATCTTCCTGCCATCATTGCTGGAGCAGTTGGAAAGGAAACAGCTGTGTCAGTGCAGCAGGAATAAGAAACCCAGGGAAAGAGCTGTCTATTCAGACTTTCCCTTAGAATTAACATCTCAATAAGAGGCTTTGCCAAGGCAACCTGAGCTAGATGACTCCATCATGCATAACTCTGTCTTATGTGAAAGGGGAGGTTGCTGGCCTAAGAGTGAGTCAAGTCCTTCCTGTTCAAAATATTTCTTCCTTTTCATACCATAGACCTACTCTTCCCTAGACTGTAGGGGACGTCACTTTGGCTGTGGCCATAGAAGACCAGTTTCTACTTGTATGACAAAAATTGGTGTTCTTATCAAAATCCATTTGCATTTCTGAAGCTTTAAGAAACCAAGATCTCTGTTGTGATATTTTAAACTTACTATGGATGACCTGCCTAATTTATCAGCAATATTTCAGTGGAAGAATAACCATAGCAACCAATAGGACTTCCCATAACATCATTCTAGTCATTGTAAAAAGTTGTACCTTGCTTTTCTTTCTCATTCCCATTGTCTTTTCCTTCTCTACCATGTCTTTTTAGATTATAACCCTGAATACAGAACTGTCTGCTTTTAATTATTCTGGGAGCTTTCAGATGGAAAATGTGGAGTATTAGCATAAGTAGCCTTGTGGTTCATCATTATAAAACCCCTGTGGAAGGCCTGCAAAATTATTTTGTGGTCCAACTAACTGGAAGCTACCCATTAACCCCTTATAGGACTGAATTTCTGTCCGCAGATTAAAAGAACACGGTTTCTCCTTTTCCATGAGGACTAGAAACTCAAGACTGTAAACAATATGATACAACATGATCGGTGTGAATAACTGAAGAACTGAATTTTTATTTTTCTATTTCAAGACAGCTGTCCTATTAATTGTTATTTCCAGAGAAAGAGAATTCATTGCCCACAGGGACAATCTGTTTCACTGTTAAATAGCTCTTATTCAAGGGAAGTTTTCCCCCCGTAATATTTAATTAAAATCTGTTTGTCAGCCAGTCCTCTTCATTGCCTTCCAGCAATGAAGGCTTCCAGCTATTGGGAGACTGCTTTTTTACTTCTCCTCATTCTTTTCCCTGGCAAAACATTCAAAAATGCTTGTTTTTAATAGGCTCTGTAGATATCCCACTTTCCTAACCTGCTATTTTCTGGATGTTTCAATGGTATTCTTAAAATACAGTCCCTAGTGATGAACACAGTTCTGCAGATATAGCACAGTTAACACAAAGTGGGGTAAACCAGCCACTTGGTGTTATTTGGGATAAATTGGGATAAATTGCATGAGCATTTCATATTGTGTTGCTGGCTCACTTTCTTACTATTTCATATTCCATATTATCATCCACTGAGGTACCTAAATCTTCTTGGACATGCTGCTATACTTGTACTTGTATATTTGATATTTTATATCTAAATGTTAAATGTTACATATTTGTTTAATTTAGTCTCATTTTATTGAGAGATTAAATTCTCTAGTTTAGTTTCAAGCTACTGCTTCATCTTCCAAGATTCAATCTTCATTAATTACGTTTACTGTCTCATTTAATAAGGATATTGTAGGAAATACTTTGTGTTCTTACTATTTCAGTATCCATCAAATTATTGATTGCCAGGAAAAGATGATTGAGTTTAATCTGGCAAAACTTATTTTTGACAAACCAATGTTGGCTCCTAGGAATTAGGATTGTTAATTATAAAAGTACTTTGCCAATATTTTAGAATTTATACCCCATCACTCTGAAGGAACTCCTCATATTTGATATCAAGATCTACCAAAATATTTTTTGTTGATGGTACCCTCGTTATTGCCAGATAGTGTCCCCTTTCTTTACCCTATCCTTTTCTGTCTTGTAGGAAGGAGTAATTAAAACATGCTTGTAACTCTCATTCCTTCATTTTCCTACCTAGAACCTCATAAATTTTAGAAACTTTTCTAGGCACATTCTTTGTTCCAACATATAGATGAGCAGTAAAGGATAGTATCCAGCTGTTTGTGTTAACTCACATCTTGAATACAGTCATTGGGAGGCCAAACTCCAGTCATCAGGATATGTTTGCAATTGGTGTGCCTTCATTCCTCTTATGTGAGGGATATGATCAACACACTTGTGTTTCTATGTGGATCTGAGTGTTTTCATTAGTGCTTCTTGATTTATTATCTGCCAATAGTCGAGGTTCACAAGAAAAACCTGGTACTACTATAGAATTTCAATGGCGCTGAAGGCCTCCTGTTTTGGGTCATGTGTCATGTTCTTGAACTCCTGGGCTACCATATTTGGGCTGCAAACATCAGATGGCAGTTAGTAGGTCTTTGTTGTCATTTTTTTTTTGGCCATTTGGATTTTTGCAGTCCAAATATGGTGGTCTTGCTTATTTCTTGCCTTTTGTCTCCTCTCTCTGCCTTTCATTCATCCAGTATATGGGGGACATGCAGTGAAAATACCTGAATCTCTTTCAGTATTTTTCCTGCAGAAGGCAGAGCTTCCATTTTCTTGGGAGATAGTTTACATTGTTCTGGGGCAGAAAAATAAACACAGTTCACAGGTCATTGATTGCTCCCTCAATGTAACTGAGGCCAGATTTTCTAAAGCCATATAACAGTTTTCTGCATTTCCTTAAACTTCCCCACTATATTTTTTTTATATAAAGCTTCCCTTTTGTGTGCTTCCTTTGTGATGTCTCTTGTAAATAGAAATTATTTAACCATGCCCACCAAAGTTGTCAACTGTGATTGACCATTGGCTTTCCAGAATTTTGGATAGAAGATTTTTTTTGTACTTTCATTTATCTACTCTTTAAATGGAGAGAAAGCTTTAATTTTCTGCAAACCATATACTTTGCCACTTAAATATATTGCCTATCTCTTCCCCACAAGGCTTCCATCAAGAGCAATGAGAATGATCAAGATGACAGCTGCAGCCATGTGATTGAGGCCTGGCCCCTTTTGGACATGCATTGTGGGTGCACCATGTGTAAAAGGGGAGGGGCTTCCATTGCAAAGTCACAGGTGCCATCTTGACTTTCTGAACCGCTGCAAATGTTCTGCATCCCCATCACTTCCGCACTTACTTGGTTATAATAATGATGGTTAATTTAATGTCTATATTTGTTTTAAATCCTCATTTATCTTTACAGATGCAATTTACAGAATTGTGTTGTTTGCCATCATGCTGTGATAGAGAAAGGAAGTGACCTCAAGGACTGTTTGATTGGAAATAGCCAGCACCTGGAAATTAATTGTAAGTGGAATCTAAGCAGTGATTGTTAAAAAGGGCTGATATTGTAATCCAGTATTTCTCAACCTCAGCGATGCTGGGTGGGGAATTCTGGGAATTAAAATTCCACACATTTTAAAGTTGCTGGGGTTGAGAAACATTGCTATAATCCATCTTTGTTCCTGGAATTGTCTTCTGTAGCTATGCAAATGAACTAGTTCATTTTTAATCCACTCTATAGATTTAATAACACAGTAATTGTAGAAGGAACTGCCAGAAGCAATGCTTTAGAAGTCCAACCCAAATTAAAATAGTAGAAGCACTGTTGCTCACTCACTGTGTAGATTAAAATTAAATTTCAGAATGACAAAACTTAGGTCATGGAAAGAGTAATAAATTGCACAAAGTATTGGTAGGTAACCACTTTTATGAGACCATTTGAATATTTGCAGAAAGCATGCAGAATGTAGAGCTTAATTATTAAAACCCTGTCTTAAAGCTAATTCCAATAGTTTATGCCAGTCCCTTATAAAATGATACCTGCTATTCAGGCTTTCAAAATGTGTTGTTGTTTTTACTAAAACTCAGAAATGTACTTGCAGGAGCCAAGAGCAAACCATTAGTTCAAGTGAGAACATGGTTGGACCAGATTCAAACATATATGTCTACCAATGTTCTTTTTCAGTGCTCTGGTTTAAGTATTATTGATAGAAAACCAGGAGACAACCCCTTGGCATTGTATTGAAAAATCACATAGACATGTACTTTTTGCCTAATCCTGTGCTAATCTATGGGTGCCTGTATATAGGTGACCCTATGCCCAGATCTTATACTCTGCCAAATTACATAGTGCAGCCTTAGCATAGTGCTGCATAGTTTTGTTAATCAACATGATGCTGTGTGTTGGGATCTAAGCAGTTCATGCTAGGATCAAGGTGAAACAGAGTTATTCAGACTAAAAGCATGCCCACAACAGACTTATTTTAAGAATGAAGTGCTTTCCTTCATTACGTTTCAAGGAGTGTTGGCAACTGTCCCATGTGAATTGATGAGGTTCAGTTTGACAAAGGACAGCTGTCTATACTATCCGTTCTCAGCCTGAAGCTTTGTAAAGAATATCTGAAGTGGTGTATTCTCCTTTGCTTAGGTGTGGGCCTGTGAAAAACACTACAGGCTAGCTGGATATGCTGCTGGTGGGTGGGTGGGGGGAATGTTTAAAGTTTTTTTTCCCCACAAGCAATGTGCTTCTAAGGTCTTCAAAATTTGTAATGGAAAGACTGGCTGAGTTTGTATATACACTATATTTACGTTTATTGCAGAAGTATTTACACTACGTTTTTGTCATTTAATTTGGATACTAAGGCAGTTAACTCTCCAGAGCACGGACAAACCCTGTGCAGGATTTTTTTTTTGTATTTGTGATTTTTGAACAAATTTATCCCTAAATTTGTGGGTCTGAAAGTTAGAGATGGATAATATTTTAAAGCAATCCATAACATCTTTTTGAAAGACAGACAGACAGACATATATGTGCACATGCACATGCACACACAAGCACACACACAAACATAGAAAGTGTCGAGGAAGCCTAGTTGACTTCATCATTTCTTTTGATATTGAAAGTGTCCTATGCCTTACTTCTGTCACTTGGACGTTGTTCTGCGTTCCATCAAAGTATAGCTTGCTTCAATCTCTCTTTTGCTTTAAACATCGGCTTTCAAGAATAAAGCAACCTTCTTTAATTCTTAAGCCTTAATATAGACCTGAAGGATGCTAATTCAGGAAAATATATGCCTAGCATTACAGAGTAATTTGTTTGGTGGCTGGTCTATTTTTACAGCTAGAAGGAACTATTTTCTATCTTCGCTTTATTCTGCTATAAAAGTAATTACAGTTTCTCTTTTTACCCCATACGTTTTCTATCTTAATTAAATATTTGGTAACTTCTTTTCTTCTTTTTCCTCTCTGATGAACAATATCTTAAATTATGAAACATCAGTAGTTTTTATTGTCTTAATGTGAGCCAGGAAGAAAATGGAATTAGCTTTGAGGCGTCTATTGGATTTTTTTGGTTCTTTTTTTCAGTTTAAAATATATAGCCAAAATTCAGAATATTACTACTCAGAACTGTAGTATTATGTTTTGTTATTTAGTTACTTTATGTTTAATTAAATCGCTTCACTTTGCCATTTTATAATCTTTTCATTGCAAATTCTCATTTATATTCTGATAACATATTTCTGACCCTTCTTTTCCGAGGTGCTGAAACACTGCCTCCTTAAAGTGTTTCCAGAAGTATGAATGTTAGTACACCTTTTACTGTGTAATAGTTTTTGAAACTGAAGATCCAAGATCTTTTTTAAAAAAGAAATAAGTATTGTATATAAATGATCGTTGCTAGTTTGATAAGTTGCTTTATTACGGCACTGTAAGTTAAAAAAAAACATAATCAAGATAAATTGATGCTATCCATAGTGATATATATTCTGCTTTCTGATGTCTGTAACATACATAGTTAGCTTCTACATTATGTTTAATCAGATTCTCTTTAGCTAGTAGCTGTCAGTAGTCTTAATCCAAATTCCAACAGAAACCATGCCTCGACTGCTTGTCACCTAGTGATTTAAAATTCATAATTCTTCTGTAATAATGATTATCCTTTAGTCAAGAGGTCCAGAGAAAGCTCCTTTGAATGCAGAAGTCTATCCTGGATTAGAATCCACCATAACAGGAAACTGTTCTGTGTGGCCTGAGATTCTTTGTAAACAGCCTATGTGAGTCAGAGACCTTGTTGTTAGCGGTCCAAATCACCATATGACATTTGTATAATAGCAACTGTGCATCTGGAAGGTCTTAGAAATTTTACTCTAGGGAACCGGCTGTGTACATCAAGTGCCATCTGTATATGACCCGACTCTCTGATTGTATATGAAAACGCCCTTGCCAAGAATCTGCAGTCGCATATATCTCCTGTTATTGCTTCCTACTTTCCCTTCTAAGATGGGCCAGGGAGCCCTTCAAGTGCAGACCACCAGCTTTTACGCTCACTGGTGACGACTGCAGAGCATTGCTACACAACTTGCTCTTTCCTTTCTCTGCCATGACTTAATTTAGAAAGTTCCTCACAAAGAGTAACCAGTTAGGCAGACAAGATAGAAGTACTTCTGCTGTAGAGAGGCACCTGTGAGAAGGCAAAGTAAGGTAGGACAAAGGAAAAGCATTACAAAAATGTAGGTTATCTTCTGGCATGCAAATAATTCTTCCTAGTTCAGTAAGACTCTTCAGCAAGCAGTCTATTTATTCAATCTTTTATAACTGTCAAAAGGTGTAAAAGAGATATTTGATGTGCGAAAATCTTCTCTTCATTCTCTTCATCTTGCTACTGCTACAGTTAATTTTAAAATCTACCCACAAACACGCCTTTCACTCAGCTACATCTACACGGAGAGATATTTGTGTGCTTTTTATCTGCAAAGCAGCATTCAGTGTAGTTTAGCATATTACCAAATAGTACAAAAACTCCCACGTTAAAATACAATATTTAATTATAATTTATAAAAGTGATAGCCTTCGGTTACAAATGCAAACTGTAAGGAATAGAATAGGATACTTAAAATCTGGAACCGGGAAAAAAAAGCTTGTCAAAAACAGCGATGTTTCAGTAATCGTTTTTTAAAAAAATTATCCATTGTACCTATGCTATTGGAGAGAGAGAGTTCTAAAATGTTGGTTCCCCTACTCTGATTTTGAAGATAAACGTATGGCTGATCAGCACTCACAATTCTGCAGAAGATATTAATTCTGAAGTAACCAAACAGAGAGACACATTTCCCCTAGATAAATGTAGGCAACCTGATTTCATAGACTAAAATCTATGATAAAGTCCTAAAATCCCTCCCGGGTGAACATTATGGATGTTGTAGTCAAACCATCTGGAGTTTAATAAACTTAATAAACTTAGCCAAGGTATCAAGGAGTTTGTGGGAAAATAACTTAAATACATAAGCTTCTTCCCTCTCTCAGTGGGTTGTATGAAAGTTCCCCCTTGAAAGAAATCTCTTTTTTCCCCTTTCTCCTCTCTACTGAGTCCAGTGAGCTCCGCCATTTTGATTGTTTCTCCTATGAATATTGCTTCTCTTTCCTTCTGTCCTAACTTGCAATCCTTGGAGAGGATTAAGCTTCCAGTTTCCCCTGGCACCTACTGAATGTTTTTTCTTTCCCAACAAAAGAAGGACACATCAGCCCTTTGGTAGACCTAAGCAGTGGTCTTCCTCTCGTTGAAAGCCTCTCGCACTTTCTTGGCTTTGAAATATATGGGAAGCAGTCCGGGTCACCAAATGGTTACTGAATCTATTCTTTCCTCCATAATAATTACAGTATATAGATATCATGTCAGAACTATGGGAAAGTGTGAAATTCAGGTTTTGGAGCAGAGCCAGTAGTTTCCTGCTATGGTTAGAAAAATGGGTATTTATTCCTCACGTCCATGGAAGTTTATTCATTGATTTAAATAATTTATTTATTGCTTTCCAGGAAAAGAAATCTTAAATAGATTTACAATTAAAGTTACATTTAAACAATGGGTTAAAACATTTAACAACAACATACTTTAAGGCAGAGGTCCCCAACCTATGGGTCGTGGCCCACTACCTTTTGGCCATCGGGCCGTGTGAGTGGCTGGCCAGTGCATGGGCACATGTGTGCATGCTCAGCCCCTGCCCTTGTGCCTGCCCTAGCTGAACCACAAATCTCGCGCTAGCTGAGCCACAAGCCGCAAGCTGGCGCTAGGAGAACCGTGAGCCTCTCGCCAGCACTAGGAGCCCCATTTGCGGAGTGTGCATGCTCACGGCCCCATTTGCACGCAGCCACATTTGCGTGTGTGCACGTGCGTGCATAAAGGTGCCTGTCCTTCCCTTTCCCACCAGGCCGCCAACCCAGAAAGGTTGGCGACCCATGCTTTAAAGCACTGTATTTTTTTATTTTTGTTCAATCTTATCCAGTTCTCAAGGACTGCCTTGACAAATCCCTGCTATTTTCTTGGCAAGGTTTATCAAAAAATGGTTTGCCATTGCCTCTTTCCTAGGGCTGAGAGAGAATGACTGGCCCAAGGATACACAGCTAGCTATGTGCCTAAGATGGGATTAGAACTCAGTCTCTTGGTTTCTAGTCTTATGTTTAAACCACTATACCAAACTGCCTCTCTAGACATTATATAAACAGTGAATAAAGAGAAAATCAAATCAAACAGACAAACAATAGAAACTTAAAACTAAAAGCAGGAATGAAAAATTGAAAATCACGATAGCATTAACACATTAGAGGTTTGGAGGAATAAAAGAAAAGGCTTTGCTTGATGCCAAAATATATAGTAATATATTGGCTGGTTTAGGCATCCATCAGGACTCACTATTGTTTTGCAGAAATGTTTTATGGAGGTATATTCAAAGGAAGCCTGACTATCAATTGATAGTTGAGCAGTTTTGGGGTGTGGGCTTAGTGCTGCTCTGGAAGCCAGCGGGAATGTGCAGAGTGGAGGGTGGCTTTGTGCCATAAGCATCAGAGAAAAGGTTGGTTCTTTCTCTTCTGCTTCACCACACAACCCTTCACCACCAGCAGCGTTGCTGGTCAGCTGCCCTTTGGGAGGTTGAACCAGGTCTCAGGACCAATATAAGGTTTTGGTGTGGATTGAAAAAACTAAACTTCCCTATTGCCCAAAGTGATGGAGGACAGGGGCCAGAGGAGCGGGGTTATGTCCACACCAACTTTAAATGGCCAAACAGTGATGAGTTGATCCCATGGCCAAAAAGAGCACTGGCTGTGACATCAGCAACACAGTTGGTAAAGCATGCCAAATTGCACCCACAATAAAACTACCAATGTTCGTTGCTTTGATGCAAATAGGAAAATGCCCTGAGTTCCATCCACTGTCAAAATAAAATCTATGAGTGGAACATATTGGCCATATGTTCTTGTTTTCTGCGCTAAATAGCCTGTTTCCTCTTTCTCTCCTAACTACGTGGGATTTCCAGAGCTCTTCTCTCCTATGTGTACACCACCCAGAGATTTGTGTTGGGAAATATTAAGCCAAGCAGTGAGGAGGTCGCAAATGGGGAATTAGCTTTGAATTCTTGCACGGCCACAAGAAACCCACAACTGACCCTCTCCCCAAAGCTCCCTAGAGCCTTGTTTATTTGGTCCCAAGAGAAGGCAAGCAGTCTGGGGAGATTCCTGAATAATAGGCAGAATATAATAAAGCAATTAGCTTGAACTCTGCACGGATGGATCTGGTTGCTTGTGCCTGACATTCTAATGAGTGTGATGGGCAGTTTCAAATTTTGATAAATTAATATGCAATTCTTGCATTTGCTCTTAGTGTCATCAAAGCTCTTATGCTTTCTATTGCCTTAATATTTATTGAGGTAATAGGGACCAAAAGACCTGCACTTTAAAGCCACATTTGTGGAGATGCATACACGATCCTTCGTATGTCTACATTTCTGTAGCTTCATTCCTATGCTCGACTCAATGTTTCTTTTTAAATGCTATTATTAAAAGTATCTCCAGTTTTTAAAAAGTGTTCATACATAGCAGAGTCTTTCGGCAGTGCTATATAATAGAAGAGTAATTTAGTGCCAGGGACTGTACTGTATTTTATTTAAAAGGATTTATGAAACACTGTGTAATTGAGTGAGTAAACTGAATATTTTTGAGCCCCTGAGGGCTGGAGCTTCGTGGTGGTCCTGGGTTTTGGCCCTAACCCCTTCTTTCTTTTCTTCCCACACACTCCTCCTTCTCTTCCTCCTCCTCCTTTATGGCTTAGCTTTGCCACCACCAGCAGCAATCTGTCTGGGGCTAATTGAGCAAATAACAAGGAGATGCTTTCATATTCCCCCCCAAGGCAGTGTTTTCAAGGAGAGATGCTGCCAGAAGATATCCGCTATTCAATGGTGGGGGGGATACTTTGTCATTAGTATCTAGTACTATGTTAGAGTTTGTTGGAACAGAGTCATTGTTGTCCTTATGTTTGCTCAAATTGCACCGATATATATACAATACTGTAGTCCATAAACTGCAAGAGCTCAGATTTTCTGTAAGCTTGTCACACTGACATTTTTCAAGGTCTGATTCTTCTTGCACTCCCCGCAAAATAAGTGCCGCATTCTCTGAGTCTAAGCCGTTCAGGTGGGCGCTCCTGGGACCCCTGTGCCAGGCAACCTGCCTCCCTGACATTCTGTTGTGGCTCCGAATCTGTCTGGCAGAGATGCTCTTGTTCTGAAACATTCATACCGACAAATTCTGGGACAGTTTTGAAAGTACCTTCTTTAATCCCTCTTTTCTGTGTGGTTTGAATGCATCTGTAGCCCTGCCAATGGCAAATAAAAGACAGCCTGGTTAAAAAAATTTTGAGGAGGTGGAGAATTCGTAAATTCTTATCTGGCTCTGAGAACAGAATGAAGCCAGCTGAAGGAGCGTTGCCTCTCAACCAGGAATTGAAAACTGATTCTGGGCCCGCTTCCACATAGGGCTAACCCAAGAAAGTTGAACAGTGCTTAGGCTTGGAGAGCACTGCCTTCCTTTTATGCTTAGGTTATGTGATTCTGTTCCTGCCAGCAAAAAACTGCTTCTCCCGTTCCAGCTGTGTTACTTGACTGCAGTGATACAGACATGAAAGTTTTCTCATTCAAGTTCTGAAATCAGGTATTTGACTCAGATTGGAATATTATATTTGAGGCTTTCACTTTACCCCCATCACCGCCATACGCACCACATAGTCTCTTTTGCGTCACAGTGTACAAAGCATAACTTTTAAACTTTTATCTCTCCCAAATGCTACCTTTTTTCCCTTCTCTTTCTCTCTCTCTCTCTCTCTCTCTCTCTCACACACTCTCTCTCTCCTTCTCTGTTGCAGCTAAACATGCAAATGAAGTTATTATGGGCACTGAACAGCTGATGGAAATCTGAGTCTGGCAGAACTGAAGAATGGATTTCTGGCAACCTGAACCAATAGCTCAGCTGGAGATTGTGCTACATGAATTTCTCCTGGCATCACTGACACTGACAGCCACTCCTGCTCCGACTTCTTCTTTACCTCTTAATAAAGAAATATTTACAATGGCATCTGTCTGTCTCCTTCATTTAACTAGTTCCCTGCTCCTCTTCTCATTGACAGGCAGGCTGCTTTGCAGAGGATGATATGGGTTCTTGTAAATCCAATGAACGCACTTTGTTGCCAGCCAAGCTAAGAGCGAGGACCACACAGATTGTGTTCCGCCAAAAGAACAGCTGAGCCAAAGTAGCTGCAATGAAAGTGCCAGCTCCCTGAGTACCACTAATTAGAAAAGGAAGGTAGTACATGTTGATTCAACTTAGCATATGAGGTTAAAAAACATTAGATAAAGAGAGAAGAAAAAGTGACGAAGAGTCAGAAAAATACTCTCTATTATATCAGTTTGGACTGTGAATAGCAGTGCTTATCTTTTTCTTGAGTGGAAGTAATTACCAGCTTCTGTTGTCTGTAATTCCAAAAAATATTGTACAAACCATTTCAATCATAAAAAGCTGTCTGGAAAAGAGAGGAAAAACACTGTAGACAATTTGTAAGTCAACAGTGAGTATTATTAGATTTTGCCAAAAATGTATAATGAACATTTTCATTCCAGCTTGGGACAAGCACATAAGGGCACAGATTACCATTATCTGATCAACATTAAGTGTGTCCTGACCACTAAGACAATTACTTGTAGGGGACAAGTAATCACTTGGATACAATTACAATTACTATTGGCTTTTGTATAGCCTTTCTGAAATCTCCAGGTCAGTTTGGTAGTTCTCGTGTCTCTGAAATCCACTGTATAAAAATACAAACTCTGCAGTGATGTTGAATCTATAATCCATATCTTTTAGATTGGGGGCCCATGTGAGAGAACAATCTTGATCCAAACTACTTTTATAATATTTTTGACCAAACCTTCAACACAGAGTGATTGTTTAGATTTAAAATATTATATTGGATCACATTTTACAGAGGCATCCTAATGCAATAATTCTAATCATATCTGAGTTATATTTAGTATTTTATTTATAATGAAATTACATTTTATCTTTCTAATCAATTGTCAGTAATAGGTAGATTATAAGAAATTAATGAAAAACAAGAATGAACAATTTAAAATATGCCTGAAGCATGATGAACTAAAGATTCTTGGAAACACATAGTTTTCTCCCTAAAATGTTTGGCTTGCAGGAATCTTTTAAGTAGGATTCTAAAACACGTATCTGCACCTGTAAAGGCCTCCAGCTATTGACCCAGAGGTATACTGGTTCATTTTCATTAGTTGGTGTGATAAACATCTTCCTCATCTTTTTCCTCCCAGAGGGGATCATTTTTTTTTTGTTTCTTTCTTTCACACAGGAGCATTAAAATTATAAACCAGCCCTGCCCAATCCTTCATAAATGAAAAATAAACCACATTAAAGAACTGGCTTAAACTGGGAAAATGTGATGCAGCAGCTGTCTCAGATGAAAGGTTTCTTAGCTCTCCATGTGTGTATGTGTATACAAATGTAATACATACTTGCGCTAGCCCAAATTAACCTCACAAGCTTCTCTGGTGCCTGGTTTGCATGACATTTGTTAAGTGTATAAAATCGCAAATCTGCTAAATTTACCAGAAAAAAAGTTCATCAAATTAAGTTGCATTCCCTTTTCTTTATTCAGTTGAAGGGAAAACAGCTCTCCAAAGCTTTCTCATAAAATCTATTACTGAAAAAGAACTTTATCACTTGGGGGTCTTGATCTTTAAATAATGAGGATGCTGTTATAAAACATAAGGTTTTAAATTCAGACTAGCATATTGGATGATGCCTCACATATTTCAGTTTACAAATTAAGACCCTTGTTCATGCTTCCTTTAATTTATTTCCTTGTAACCCACTTCACACTGGCAAAATGACCTAGGTCTAATCCTGTAAGTTCTGTGATTTGGTTAATACACTTACTGATTGAAATAATGCAAACATCATACAATGCAAACATACACTGTTAATTTTGCTAAGGAAAATTGTGATTTCAACAGAACTGCCATTCTCACATGATGCAAGGTGTGTACTTGTACACATGATGCAAGGTGTGTACTTGTACACATCCTTTGTACAAGTATCTGGGCCCAAGATCAATATATATATGGAGTAGTAAACCTAAAGAAGTGAGGGGGCTGAATCCAATGCAAGGGTTGTATTTAACTTGTCATCTTTGGATGAATGTTTGGAATATAACTTCAGGAAGAAATTGCAATCCTTGATGTAATCCCTATTTTCCATGCATAAGTTATGGCTTCCTTCTTCTGCCTTCACGAGGAAGCTCGCATAGTTTTTATAACGTTTTTCTGTACTGACTTCCCACATCTGAGGAGTCATCCTGTCTTTATGCTCTTACTTTGCAGTATGATGAAAAGCCATAAGAAGATAAAGTGTGCAAATGAGAACCAAGGCCCTTAATCCATGCACTCTACAACTTGCAAATGGTATACTGACTTTTCCTTTTTGTCTTTTATAACCTGCAGGTGTTTGGGGCAAGATAAAAGTAGATTATCAAAGCAAAGATTTATCCTTGATGTAGACATCGTGTGTGGCAGTACTGCAATTATGAAAAATAATTCCAAATAATGTTTTCCTTCAGAAAGTGCAGGATTGTTGCTAGGAATTTAACCCTCAAATGGTCTGATGGTAAGAATTTGGACCCCATCCTGAAAAAGCATCTTCCTACATGTCTGTTGCTATCAGAAAGGCAGTCTTCGGATAGCTCCATTTACTGCATAGGAGGTGGCAGACTTGAGTTTACTCTATTATTTGTAGAATTCACAAGTCAACTAACTACAGATAGATAATTAATGTCCCTCAGAAGCCATATGCTTCAAGCAATTTATCTGTAGAAATATATATCTACAACTGAATTATTATATACAAAGGATTCTAATACTTAAAATTTAAATTTGATCCATAGTTAGGAGTGAGGTGTAAGCATAAGCATATAGTTTCCCAATAATTTCAATACATACTTCTCATACATCCCAATACATGATGTATATCATACATCCCAATACAGGATATATACGGGTGGCAAGTAGCGAAATTACCCCATATTTCCTAACAGGCTAGAAAAAAAAATTATAGCAACATCTTGGATTATGCAATTGATAAAAAGCAATATGGCACTTCCTGGCATGTGAGCTTTTTCTGCCACACCACCAGGAAATAGGAATCACAGCTTATTAGGAATGTGGGGAATTTCTTTACACAATGAGGAAACAGGCACTGATGATGTTACCTAGTTTGGGTAATGAAACGTCTGCAAGAAAATAAGCAAGCTCAGAGAGCACCAAGGAGCCCTCATTTCAACCCAGAGCTACAAATATTCTCTTTTATTGGTACCTTACACAAGATCATTTTGTCCATTTAGCTTAATTCCATATTCATGTATAGCTAAGTTGAGGGTTTTTTTCCATAGTTCATTTGGTGTTGTATTGAACAAGCCGTGGTGGACTTCTTTGCTTAATAACAAACTGCTCCTTGCCTCTTCTTCGAGTTGTGACTTAGTATTAGATTATCTGTTTTAATAGGTAGAGTCTCTTCGAGTTTTTTACCCATAACCTGCTACTTGATTCTTTTAATTAGAGATGCCAGGATTAAAAATGGCATCCTTTGGTTGTAAAATATGACCTTGGCTATTATCTTACATCTCTTCAATTAATCAGTTTTTCTTTCAAATACATATCTAATTTAAGCACATTTTTCTTCTATATGGACTTATTGCCTCTTTTCCTCATCTGTGTAGACAATTTTATTTTCCACGGAACATGTCCAAATCCTGTTACATTTCCTTTTTAATCAGGCCAAAACTGCATTATATTATCCCTCTAGTTTTCTAAAACACATATCCAAATGGGATTATCGTATTGGGGATTGAATAAACGTAACTGACCTCATCTATTTCATTCTGTCCTATCCTCCAGTCTTCCAGGTTTTTTTTTCCCCAAAGACTCATCCTGTAATGTGGTTTTGGTATCTGGAGAATCTAATATTCTAATAATCGGAAAATGGGGAAAAAATAACTTGGCCTAGATTGCTGTATTCTTATGAATTCCAATAAATTACAGTTTATATTGTGTCAGAACTCTTGGCTGTGTAATATTTTTACAGATTTCTATTTCTGTTAGGAAATTAGCATGTTGTGTAGACACTAATATGTCGGTGGAGATGTTTTCTCAAAAAGTTAGTTGCTAATTTTAAAAATTGTTCTGAATACAAAGCAACATTTTAATGTAATTTTAAAAATTGATCCAAGACAAATTTTGTGCTTTTGGTCTAACCAGGTGTGTGGCCAAAGCCTTGTCAATTACCTCTTGTAATTTTGGTACGGTTAAATAGCATTTTCTCTAAATAGACTATTTACTGAGGAGATTTAGTTTTCTTAATTTTAATTACTGTTAAGTTATAGCTGGAGGTCTAGAAATCTCCATAGCTTGACTCCCCCCCCCCAAAAAAAATCATCTAATTATTTTACACAAAATCTAATTAGGTATATACAGTTTAAAGTATACATATCAAAATAAAGTTGCAACAACAATTGCCAAATTCAAAGGTTTTGTGTAGAGGACTGAAGCTTCATATTATACATATCTAAATACAAATGTGTTTATATACTTTTATTTACTTTTACAATGTTTCTAAACTGCCCAATCGTTTAAGACTCTAGGTGATGAACAACTAAGCAAGAATAAAAGTAATTGTGCAAACTAAACAATTAAAAATAATATTATTATTAGGGATGGAGTCAAATATGCCTCCAAAGGAAGCATATCCTATAGTTTCAGAGCCATTATTAAAACGACCTACTGCCTAGCCCACACTCCATGTACTCTTAAAAAGGATTCTCAACAGGTCCTCAATCAATACTTGGACTGGATGGGTAGATTTGGTTTTGGTAAGATGGATTTTGGTGTCACAGGTAATGACCAGCACTTTGAATTAGTCCCAAATGTCTAGTATAGAACCTTTATTTGGTTCTACAGTGGTAGGATTATCCTTCCAACACACTTGCCATTAT